CTTTTCTGCTCCTGCTTTTACTGCCATAAAAGCATCAGGAATGCATAAATGGGAGTTTTTGTAATAAGGGACCATGAGTAAAACCACCCAGCATTTGAGTTGTCTCTGGTGCCCCTGTTGCTGGAGGAGCTTCAGGATGTTCTCCAAAAGCTCAGCTGCTTTCCCATGGACCAGTGTGCTGTGCTGTCCCTGAGGTGTGTGTCCTTTCCCGTGTGCCAGCAGTGGTCATGCATTGGTCACTTGTAGTTCTGGGGAGTGCACCTAGAAATGGTTTGCTTGCATTTCTTCCTGCCCTCGTGCCATTAAGAAGGTCCCTGGGTGGGAACTTGAGAGGAACTTGGCAGTTTGGGGCATGCAATGCCACCACTTGTGTCACCAGTGGTGTGGGCAGCAGCCCTGATGAGCTCTCTACCCCAGGAACGCGTGGAGGCCGTGAACATGGCCGAGGGCATCATCCACGACACGGAGTCCAAGATGGAAGAGTTCAAGGATCAGCTGCCAGCAGATGAGGTAGGTGGTTCCTGACCCTAGAGTGCTACAGCACATGAAATTCCTCACAAAATCATTGCTCGCATTCCCACTTAACTCCCAGCTGGCTCTGGCCAGTGGCTGCAGCTCTGGCCATGTTTCCATGCTGGGTGAAGGTGGCACAGCCCTGCACCTCTGGCTGTGGCACTCACTGGGTGAGGGGAGGATGGACAGTCATCCTTAGGGGAGCAGGGTTTGGGTGCTGGCAGATAACCCACTGCAAAGTGCCAGGTTGGTGTCACTGAGGCTCTGAGCGCCTGGGAAGCTGCTGATGAGAGGTTTCTGACAGAGCTGTGTCCTTGCTGTGGCCTTGCAGCGCAGTGATAAGGACTGTGCTGTGGCTGGCTCGTCAGAGGAGAGGTTTGCTCCAAGGCTGGAGATTGTGGACAGTGTCTGCCCTTGTTAGCAGAGGGACAGGGCAGAGCTGCTGTGCTCTCCTGGCAGTGCATGCACAGTACCCAAGAACCTGGGGGCAAGAAAAATCAGTGCTCGCTTAACTCCAGTTTTTCTCTCTTAGAAATGAAATGGGTATTTAATATCCAAGAGTGCTTTTCACACCACTCAAAGGCAGTGCATTGTGAATTTCAAAAGCCAAGTTAGAGGAGTGTGCCCAATTACCAATTTAACAACTCTGGGAAGCAGAATTAAAGGGCTCCTGGGGGCTCTGAGGTGTCTGAGGGAGCACAGTTGGAGTTTGTTGGTAGAAGCCTCCTGTCAGTTAAAGGCTGTTTCTCTGCCAGCAGATGGGGACAGGACAAGGGGCAGTGGTTTTAAACTGCCAGAGAGCAGGGCTAGGTGGGATATTGGGAGGGAAGCCATTCCTGGGAGGGGGGGCCAGCCCTGGCACAGGTGCCCAGAGAAGTTGTGGCTGCTCCTGGATCCCTGGCAGTGCCCAAGGCCAGGCTGGACAGGGCTTGGAGCAACTTGGTTGAGTGACCATGGCGGGGGGGTTGGAATGAGATGATCTTTAAAGTCCCTTCCCACACAAACCATTCTGGGGGTCCATGATAATGGCTGTCTCTTTGTTTGGAATTAAGTGAGAGAGTTTGCTCTCCCAGGAGCACAGAGCCTGAACCCTGTTCCCTGCAGGGACTGTTTTCTGTGACTCCCCTGGGGAGGTGGGGGCAGCCAGTGCTGTCTAGTGCTGATGGTGGCTGTCACTCCGTGTCCTCATCCTGTGGTGTGCAGCAGAGCTGTGCCCATGTCTGCCATCCCTGCTGGCGCAGCTGTGCCCAGGAGCCCTCTCCAGCCTGCCAGGGAAGGAGGCGGTGCCAGCCTGTGCCGGGACTGACAGATGGCTCTGGGCTGGGCTGAGCCCGCTCTGCGGGTTTGCTCTGAGCTCTGCTCCACGGGCAGCACAGGGACTGACCAGGGCAGGGCCTTCAGTACCCACAGAAACCAGCCTGCTGTCCCCTGCCCTGGCGTGGCTGTGCCAGGTGAGCTGTGCCAGGCACAGAGCACGGCCTTGGCCACTGGTCAGGCCCTGCAGAGCTCTGTTCTTGGCACCTCTGCCCAGACAGCCAACAGGGCCCCATTAATGCCAACTGGGACACTGTTAGTGAAGTGGACAGGTGCCCATGGGAGCTGGGCACACTGCTGGGCTCTGCACACTCACTTTGAGGCTTCGCTTGATGGCTTCTGGCACAAAGGGGGCCAGCAGGTGGTGAAATGACAGCATGGAGATTAACAACGGACCAAGTGCAGCGTTTCACCTTTGTGTCTTTTTTGCAGTGCAACAAATTAAAGGAAGAAATTGCTAAAATGAGAGAACTTCTGGCTCGTAAAGATAGTGAAACAGGAGAGAACATCAGGCAGGCAGCAACCAGCCTGCAGCAGGCTTCCCTGAAACTCTTTGAAATGGCATACAAGAAGGTATGTGCATGGCCAGTTCACTTTCAGAACCCTCAGATGGGGGGAGTTAGGGCACTGAACTCTTGGGTGGGAGGTGGTGCTGGGCCTCTGTGCAGCTCCCTCTGAGTGACACTGGCTGAAGGGACAGCTGTGGATCGTCAGGGAGAGTTGAAAGCCTGAAATCCCAGCCATGCCTCCAGGCTGGTGTTCTGTTACTGTACTGCATTCCCTGGAAAGGGGGGAAACTCCTAGTAAGGAGCATCCAGAAGAGTAAGGAGTGGGCTTTCCCCTCAGGGCATGCAGTGCCTGAAGGAGTAAGGTAACTCCTGAACTTTCTTCAGAGTGATTGTAAAAGACAATTCCTGTTCAGTCTGCATAAAGCCACAGTAAAGGCCTTGGGGATTTTCTTCTCCCCCTCCTTCCCAGTGGAAGGCCCTTGCACCCACTGGCACTGGCCAGGGTGTGCTTGCCTGTGCGGGGAGGTGTCCCAGCATGGCAGTGACACAGTGCCCAGGTGACCTTGGTGCTGAGCTCTCCTTATTGGGAACAGCTGCTTTCCTGATGTCAAACCAAGCCTTGAGTGCTGCAGTGTCAGCCTGTTACATCCCCTGGGAAAGGAACATTGTTCTCTCCCTCTCAGAGCTCAGGCAGATACGAAGATTTCCCTTCTCAGTGGACACTGCTCGTGCACTGAAGAGAAAGTTCTCCAGGCTGGAGCTGACCTGAGCAGCCAGCCAGGGGAAAATGGCCAGGAGAAGCAGTGTGTGTTACCAGAAGTGATAAACCTGTTTGTTCACAGATGGCCTCCGAGCGAGAGGGTTCTGGAAGTCCAGGAGATCAGAAGGAAGAGAAGCAATAAGAAGTCTCTGTCTTGCCTTGATGAGAGAATGATGAAGAGGTCGATTTTCTTGATGCTTGGGAGAGAAGGGACCTTCCTGAGCAGCAAGGGGCAGAATTCAGACTTACTGTGTTTTTGCAGTATTCTATATATAAAATTCTTCAATGTATAAACTTAGTGATGTGTCTGCTAGATAAATTGTCACTTGATGAAAGTTAATTCATGCCAGACAAAGTTACGAGTTTGGCCCTGGTGTGTTCCCTGAGCGCCTGGGGACTGGCTGATCATTTAATACTTGACACAATGGTGTAGTAAATCCGAGATCCAAGCTTGGAAACCATGTCATGAAATTGGAGGGTGGAGATGGAAGCTCCCTGGGAAGGGGGAGGAGAATAAGGCCTGCATGGCCCCTCCTTGTGGATCTGAGGAGCTGGGAGCAGGTGGAGGCCTGGGAGCAGCAGGGGCAAGACGGAATGTTGCTGGAGACCATTTAGCCCTGAGCTAGGCTGGTACCTTTGTTCTGAAGGAAAGGGGCTACTTCAAACTCAGCTGTAACATAATTTCTTAGAAAAGAGGCAGCGTGGAAGTTCAGTACTTTGCTTGTCTAAGCCTTCTGCTCCATCCTGTGTCTGTTCTCTGCTTATGGTAAAACAATTTCCTTGATAATAAAACTGTTACTGGATCCGTTCTGGATTTTTTTTTAAAATAAAAGCAGAAAAGTATCCAACATGGAGTTCCTGGTCTCCTGGCCTTTGATGGAGAACATGAGGACTTTACTGCCTGTGACAGCTGCAGAGGGAACAGCCAGGCAGCTGTAACTTTCTGGAACTTGTGCTTCATTCACAGGCAGAAAGGAGGTTTCTGGTGTCAGGTGAGGTTGGGCTCTTCTGGGACTGTCAGTGCTGCTCTCACGAGGTGCCCCAAGTCCTGTGACTTCAGCAGCAGTGGGACTTCACCGTCAGGCACCTTGTGCTTGGGCTTAGCCTTACAAAACAGGCTCCAGGATTGAGCTGCACTTACCCTCTGTGCTTCCAGCAGCCCAGCCTCGCAGGGAGGGGCGTGAATGTCCCCATCTCTTACTCAGTGTCTCTTGAACTGAAATAGTAACTGTGTTTGCAGCTGTTTTGTCCTGCCGACTCAAGTATTAGTGGGGAGTAAAGGATGGTTTTTGTTTGGCACTCAGGACAGTTTCCAGCAGAGGGGACAGAGATGGCCCAGTGTGTGATGAGGAATAATCGGTGTGGGTTCATTAAGGAAAGCTGTGTGTGCCCCAATGGAGCAGACCTACCTGGATGAGCGGACAGCAGCGGACATTGTCTCTGGAGGCTTCAGCGGGGCTCGGACCGCCTCTGCTGGAGGAGCGCTGGGTGGGGGAACAGGGACACGGGGCCATAGCCCGGAGCCTCTGCCGAGCGGGGTCTGTTGATGAGTGACTGTGATGAGGGGTTCAGCGGGAGCTCTCCAGGGGCCGATTGCCCCGAGGGCGGCCGAGGAGATGTGCGGGAGGCTGCGGAGGGTCCCCGCGGGGCCATCCCGGGGCCGCGCCCTCAGCGCCCTCAGCGCCCTCAGCGCCCTCAGCGCCCTCAGCGCGGGCCCTTTAAGCGCGCGCGGGCCGTGCCGCGCAGCTCTCGCGAGACCCGCCCGGCGGCCCCCGAACTACGCGCCCCACAATGCCCCGCGCGCGCGCACGGGGAGGGGCGGCGGCCAATGGCGCGGCGCCCCGCTGCCGGCTCCCCCCGGAAGTGACGTCAGGGCCCCGATGTGAGGCGATTGCAACACATGGTGCGCGGCGCGGGGGAGCGCGAGCACCGCGTGCGACGTCAGCGCCGCGCGCCGGGGGGAGCGGGCACCGAGCGGCGGGGCCCGAGCGGCACCGGCACCGCCCGGGACTCACCCGGGCCCGCCCGGGACACACCCGGCCCCAGCGCCCCGCGCCGCCCGCCCCGCGCCGCGCCGCCGCGGCAGGACCCGCAGCCGGAGCCGGAGGAGGAGGGAGAAGATGGCGGACGATCCCAGCGCTGCCGACCGCAACGTGGAGATCTGGAAGATCAAGAAGCTCATCAAGAGCCTGGAGGCGGCCCGTGGGTGAGCGCCGGGCCCGCGGGGCCGCCGCCCCGGAGCGCCGGGTGTCCCGGCCGGAGCGGGGCCGCGGCCGGGGCGCTGGCCGGGCCCGCCCGGCGCGGGGGGACGGGAGGCGCGGCCCCGGCCCGCCCGGCCCGGCCCGGCCCGGCCCGGCCCCGGGGCCTTTGTGCGGCCGCGTGGGACCCGGCGGCCGTTCGGGGCCGGGGGGAGGCGGGGAAGGCGGGCCGGGGTCGGGAGGGCCGGGCCGTGCAGGGCGCGGGGTGCAAGCGTGGCCGCGCTGCCCGCACGGGAAAAGGGCCCCGGCGCAGCCCCGCAGCTGCTCCCGCACCCGGCCCCGGCGGGGGTGGCACAGCTCTGTGCCCCCGGTTCCCGGCCCGTCCCGCCGCCCCGTGCCAGCTGGCACCGGCGAAAGGCGGATTCCAGCCGGAGGAGACGCTCCTGTGTTCCTCGGGCTGCTCCCAAGGGACCGGCTGGGCCGGGGAAGGCGGCGGGGTAAGGGCAGGGAGGCAGGGGCTGAGGCAGCACTTATTAATTGCTTTCCTTACTGACAGTTGTTTGATCTTTCTCACCCCTTCCCTCCCAGCAAAGGTGCTCAGCTCCATTTCCCTGAAAGCAAGCTCTTCCAAAGTTTGGACAGTGAGAAATTTAAAGTCTCTAATCCTGCTTTAATCCTTGCACTTTAATTTTTTTTTTCCCCCCAGAATATCTGTTCCTGCAGCCTGCCCCAAGCCAGAGGTTTGAGAGGGCAGCTTGGCAGTGGCTGGTTCCATCAGTTGGGAACCCTCTTGGGCCCAAGGAATTGCAAGATTTCAAGGTTCTGGGGCTGTAAAATAGCAAAGAAAGTGTCTTGGTAGACAGCCTGGTAAAATAAAAATGAGGGGTCACTCCTTAGGCACCCTTGTGGCTCAGTTTCCACAGGCTCACCTGAGCAGGTGTTGCTGTAGCTGGGGCAGCACTGGCATCATTCTGTGCCCCCCTTTCCCTCCCCAAGGAGCCTGGGGCCAGCTGGCAGAGGTGGAGCTGCTGTCTTGTCATGTCCTTAGTGCTGCTGCTTGCCCTGTGGGTAGAGTCAGCACATGGAGTCGTTCAACTGAAAACTAACCCAGGCAGGAGGGGAACCCGAGTCACAGGTCTCCCTGAATTATTTCACTCTGATTTATGATGTAGCTGTACAGGGGTGATGAGTGGGAAAAGGGAATGGGGAGCCTGAGCTGCCCTTCCCTGTGGCACAGTGGACTTTGGCTGCCCCAGCTGATCACTGGGCCGGGCCTGGGCATGGTGTGGGCAGCACAGCTTGTGCTCACAGGGATCCCAGGAAGCTGAAAGGGCTTGGAAAGCCCCAAACATCTGTTGGGGCTTGTGATATAGCTTTGTGCAAGAGCACTTAGGGAGCCTGGGTGGGTTTTAGAAATGTAGAGTTGGAGGTTTGTCTCCCCCTGGTTCGAGCTGTGCCCGGTTCAGTGTCAGCTCTTGTGTTGTTTGGGATAAATGAGTGCTGCAGAGAAGGTCTCAGCAGGTGTTGGAGTGTTCCTGGGAGGCTGAAGGGCCGGTGTCTCTTGTGGTATCAGCTTCCTGGGACCACAGCCCAGGTGTCTGCCCTGTCTTCCCTCTTGCAGGGATCCCTGGAACAGCTCTGCTGTGCGGCAGAGGTGCCACAGGCACAATCAGATCCATGTAAGGGATTTAGCTGGAGTGCCCCTTGGATCCAGCACATCTCCTGGGTGTGGTGATGCTGCTGTCCCTTAATTTAAACTGTGCCAGCTGCTAAACCAGCTCCTGAGGAAGGCAGTGCTGGTGCCAGCAAGTCTTCTCTGAGCAAGGTGATGCTGCTTCAGTGTGTTCCAGGGAGGCCTAGCCAGAGTGATCCTGCTTTGGGTGCAGTAAGGGGAGAGGTGCTGCAGCCTCAGCCCCAGCTGGCTCAGGCTCCCCGGCGCAGGAGGTGTGAGGCAGTGGAACAGGCTTTTCCGGCCTTTGGAGAGTCACTTCCTCTTCCTGTGGAGTAGGAAGACCTGTTCTGGGCTGGGTTAGGGGGCAAAGCCTTCCAGCAGGGTGATGTGGAGGGCCAGGGCCTCGCTGGCGTCCCCACCTTGCCTTACTCATGTGCTCCATTAGTGACCCAGCAGCAGTGTCCCAGTTTCGTGTGCTGGCTGCTCCTGCAGGGGATCAAAGGGACGGGAAATGGAGGAAGCTGGAGTTAGACATTCCCTTGGCATGTGGTGGTTGGTGCACCTCTGCTCTGATCCAGCTCATGTGGTAAAACCTCAGTGGAGTCTGCAGGGTGTTAACAAAAGTCAAGTGAGCAGAGGGAGAGGAAGTGCTTTTATGGGATTGATGAGGAAAGGGGCAGTGCTTGGTCAGAGCACCCAAGGGAAAGATTAAAACCTCAGCTTTCCCAGAAGCTGATCAGCTGGAGGCCAGCAGGGGTAGGTCTGCCTCTCAAACCTGGAGGGAAACACCCTAGTGGGAATGCCCTGTGTTACTTTCCCAGCCCTGCTAAGGAAATCTGGCTTTCTCACTGATCTCTATAGAAATAATGTGTCAGTTCAAAACAATGAAAAATCATTTTTAACTCCCCAACCCTGCCTCAAAGCCCTGTCCCTGCTAACAGGGCCTAGAAAGAGCTGTTATCTGTGTCTTGCTTCCTAAACCAGAAGTTATCTCCCTCCAGCTCTCCAAAGCTGAGTTGCAAACTGTGTGATCCTGTCCAGAGTGGCTGAGTTGGTGTTTCTGATTTGGTGAGGTGGAGGGGGTAGCTGGGCTCTGCACAGGGTGTGAGGAGGAGCAGAGGGGCCAGTTCAGCACTGCAGGCAATTAACCTCTGTGGCCAGAAGAAGATGGGAGTAAAAGGCTCCTGATGAGCCAGTTGTGGCCTTTCCAGAAGTTTAACCTTGTCATGCATCTCTGAGAGCTTGGAGTGCTCAGACTTTCATTGGACATCTCTGCTTCTCTCCTGCTGAGGGATTCATTTTGATTTCAGTACACAGTTCAGTTCTGTAGAACAGATTTGAGGAAACACTGGCCCCCCCAGAAGCTGCAGCTGTATCTTTCTGTGGAGCTGCAGCAGCCCAAGAAGAAGCAGCATTAGCCACTGTGTTTTCCTTTCTCCTCTCTCTCTCAGGGCTTTTCTGCTGTTGCTTCATGCAGTTTTTCAGTGTCAGTGCTAAACTGACAATCCCTCTTTGTTCCTTTGGTCTCTGCAGTTCTGAATAGTTAGCTGGGCTATCCGCTGGGTTTTCTGCTAATCTAAGCTGTAAATACTTGGCAAAATCAAGTATCAGCAACAGCAAGCAGTCTCTTTGCTGGGAGAGGATCTGAGATGTCACACTGGAATCATGTTTGGAAACTTCTCCAGATCTTAGAAATGCTTTCTTCTGCAAATACCTCTGGTTACAAATGGTACTGACACCTCCCTGGCCAGATGGGCTTCAGACCCCAGGTGAGAACGCTGGCTGTGGAGCTCCCTTACAATGGGAAAACTTTTAAGGAATGTGCTCTCTGGAGACATCTCCCCTGTCCTGAGCTTGCTCTGTTGGGTGCAGAAGCCCTTGTTGGTTATTTTAGTGAAACATGAAAAGAGGAGGTGAAGATTGAGGTGTCACTGAAGGTGCTGACTGCAGACACAACTGAGGCTGGTGTGGGGAAAAACATTTTTCCAAATTGTATGCTCTGGAAGGTAGGTCAAATAGGGCAAATGCAGGAACAAAGTCTGAACAACCAACTTATTCTGGTTGTAACTGGAAGAAATGTTTCAAAGCTGGAGGAGGGAGAAATGGCAAGAGAAATGGCACATCTTGGTGTCTCCAGAGCCTTGGGAGGAAAGCAAAGTGTTGCAGTTCCTGCCTGGGTTTGGATTCTTCCATCTGGTACATGGGAGAAAGAGAAAGCGAGGGAAATAGTCACCATGAAGGACAGAGGCCTGAAAATACTTGAGGATTCCTGCAAAGAGAGACAGTTCTCCTTGAATTCCTGGAAAATGAAACAGTTCTGCGTGAGGGTGAACAAGCTCACCTGTTGCTTAGAAGAGATTTGCCCAGCATCATTTGCAGATGGAGTCTCTTGCAGTCTGTCTGGAGTCTTGCTAGTCCTGATGGAAAAGCCCAACCTTGGAATTAGGTTCAAGGCGCTGCTGTTTCCCAGCCTGAACACCTTGTTCTGGGATGTGTTGGGATGGTGCTGCTCTGGGATGGGGCAGCCTGGCAGGGCTGAGATGTGCTTGGACAGCCTGGTGGTTCTGGGGAATAAGGTAGTCTTAACCTGCTCCTCTGTGAGGCTGGTGGGCCTTTCCAGAAGTGGCCTGAGAGCCCACCTGGCTGTGAGCTAACAGCACTGTGGGCAGAGCTGTGGCAGCACCGCTGCTGGGGGGTGGTCAGGGCATGACTGGTATCACTGACAGCCGTGTCCTGCACAGCTTTGCCTTGTTCCCAGTTTCTTGTGAATAAAGTCCTGGGAAGCCATGGTGCTGGGGTTCTCTCGTGCTGCCTGAGTGAGCTGTATTTCCCTCCTGAATTAGGCAGAGTTCCTGCAGCACTGTCCTGTGGATGGATTGTTCTGCTGGCGGTGCTGAAGGTGGAATTGTGCTGGGATAACTGTGGGACTGTGTCATAGCTGAGTTAACTCCAGCGTGGATTCTCCTGCTCCATACAAGACACAGCACAGCAGATTTAGGGTGTACTCTTGCTTCAGTGTGACACCAGCACCATGCCCAGGCAGGTACCAGAGCAGCTCTCATCGCTCAAGGGGATGTCACACACGAGGAGGAGCATTTGGTGTGATCTGTCAGTACTGACTGGTGTCTGCCTGCAGTGCCAGAGATGTATCAGTCCAGAGGCTCTCTCCCTGCTCCCAGCCTGCCAGCAGATCTCTTTCCCTGCCTTCTTTATCAGGATCTGTTTGTCGTTTGGCTGTGCCTCGGAACTGAGCTCTGGATCAGTTTAGCTGTTGGTACAGGAGCTGTTTCTGCAGCTTTCACCTCAGGAAGGGGCGTATGATGGAGTCCTTGCCCT